CTAAATATTCTCTCTCCCACTCACACAACCCCTCCCTAATGTATATATCTATCTCTCTCTCTCTCTCTCTGTTTCTGCAGATTATCTGCCGTCTTATCGGATGAATACATAAAACAGCGTTTTTTAAACAAAATCTAAGTCAAAGTCGTCGACAGTGTTATTGCAAAAGCTATGGCATAGCTATGCGTAACATTGAATTCAAATGTTTAACATTATTTATAATGAGAACTAACGATAATAATAGTGCATATTCTCAATGACACTGCAATCTATAGACAATGCCTTCAGATTCTTGAATATCATACTCTGTTTTTTGAATGTCAGAAAAAACTATTATTATTGCTTATTATTAACTATATGTTGGAGTTTTCTGTTGTACAGTGTATTTCATTACATTTTTAAATTTACATTTTTCAAATCCACTAATTTCATAGACTTAATGAGTACTGAATGAATGTATGCATTATATTGACTAAAATAAATATATAGTGAGAGATATTCTGCAGTGAATTTTTTTCCTGTAGTGAAAAATATTTACAGAGATTTTTCTGGTGCTTATAATTCACAGTAATGTTCGCGGAAACAGTTATTTAACAATTTTTATGGCAATTCTTGTGATACAGATTTATAAACACAGAGAGATTTTTTGCGATGATTATGTACACAGTCTTTACCCCGTAGTTCACAGCTATTACTAAAAATACATGTATTTCTGACAATAAATCTCTGAAAACCAAGAGATGAAAGTGAGAGATAGATATATACATTAGGGAGGGGTTGTGTGAGTGGGAGAGAGAATATTTAGTGTTTAAAACATTAAAATAAAGTCAAACATAAATATGATATAAAAATAAACACAATAAATATTACAGAATATATCAATAAAATCTAAAATGTTATTTGTTTTGCCATTGATATGATTAGGTGAGCGTCCATTTGCCTGTACGTGGCATTCATGCGGCAAACGGTTCGCCCGGAGCGATGAGTTGGCCCGACACTACCGGACCCATACCGGCGAGAAGAACTTTGTTTGTCCCTTCTGTGACAAGCGATTCATGCGCTCCGACCACTTGACCAAACACGCCAAACGGCATCCGGAGTTTAGGCCCGACTCGTTGGCATTCAATCGCAAGAACCAACACCACAGCCATCAGCAGCAACAACAACAACAGCCCCACCCGAAGCCCCCGCAGCCGCCCAATGGCCTCGATATGAGCCCAGTTATGGTGAAGAGTGTGGAGCGCCCGACGATTAAGGCTCAGATAATTGTGGCCAACAATAGCGCTGTCGATACCAATAAGCTTATCATTAGGGATGCGATTAGTCTTACCTGCCATTCATTACCTCACAAATGAAAAACAATAGGATTTTTTGTATTTTTTAGGATTTTTTTCAATATAAATATATATATTATTATAAATATTATAAAGAATTTTCAATTTAAAGACATATTATTAATTACTAGCATATTATATATGAATTATATTATTATTACAATTATAATGAATTTCTATTTTTAATTAACCATATATTTTAAGCAAACTATTATTATATTAAGCAAACAAAACAAAACAAAAAAATTATATGCATTTGTTTTCTCCTCTATTTGTCTCATAATTTAATACCAATCTCTTTGCTGTCTCTCTATATTTCTATATATATTGACACATATTAATGAATATATCGATTATATTCACACGAATAACAGAATTGTTTTTTTTCTATGAAATTCTCATTTATTTGATTAAAAATAAAAAATAATAAAACTATTATTATTATAGCATTTAATTTTGTCTATATTTTATTTTGCGATACCTTTTACTCGATACCAATCGTACAACACTTGATACAAAGGGAGTACACAATTGGAGATAATTAATCGAGATGAAATATACTGCTGGATGATAATAGGGGGTTGGGTGGGAAAAAGTGATCATGAATTATTTACAATGAATTACAAGATTAATTAATTGTGGTATGTGTTTGGTTTTAATGAAATTTAATAAAAGTGGTAATGAAATAACATTAATGAAAATACATGTATGACTTTGTGACTAAAATTTAGTGTCACTTTTGCTGTGGTATTGAATTGAATGCGAATCCACAGGTGTTTTATCATCGTGATAAATTCATTTGTAAAATCAATGATATATTGTTTACCACAGTTTTATTTCAATCTGGGTTTTAAATCACATGCATTTGTTTTTCAGTGTCACACAAGTTTGTGATACAACTGGGAGTAAAATCTATTAAAATATATTCAAGTGATATATATTAGTGCAAATGTTTTAGTTTATTATTAAAATATTTTTACTATTTATGACAATTAATGCCAAATTTCAAAACTGTCTGAAAATATGAACACAATATTTCATAAGTAAATGTATATCAAAATTGTTTCTGCAATTAAACTCATGTTTCCGTTAATTGTTTTATTCATTCGTATAGAAAGACAATTTGTTTTTTTTGTTTAGCTATAGATTACTATGCGTTCACACAAATCGGTATTTTTGTTGATTAAAAAAGTTTAATTGACTTTAAAAAACGTTGAATGAAAATAAACGACACATAAAAATAATAAAAACTTAATGTTAAGTCCCATTAAATCTCTCTCTCTCTCTCTCTCTCTCTCTCTCTCTCTAACTGTGTTTTCTGTAAATTTGATTGTTTTAAAGTGTATATAATTTTTAAAGTGTTAGTGAGTGAGAGGGAAATGTAGGGTAGATATGATATACCAGTGCCAGAGAGTGCCTGTGCTATCGAGTATTATATTACATTATGCTATGAGAGGGTTGGGAGAGAGAGGGAGAGACTACTGCCGGGAATATTATATAATTTTATTTTTTAAAATCTGATTAAAATTTTATATCAAATACTTTTGAGAAAATATTATTTTTTTCGCAGAGTATGTGAGGATTGAGAGATGAGTTACTGTTTTGGGATCCGATTGTAAGGCATAGGATAGTATGGGAGATAAATGTGTGGGTTATCTGATGTGTTAGAGAGAGAGAGAGAGAGAGAGAGAGAGAGAGAGAAATGTTGTAAAATATGAAATAATTTTTCATTACATCCATAAGTGTTAGAGTGAAAAAAATTTATATACATTTTTTATTATTACTTTTTTCATTCATTTATTTATTTATAATATTTATAATATATTTATATTCAATAAAAACAGCATATATTTATATACAATATATATATTCATTACATATATTTTACAATTTTCTTAATGCACTGTATATTTTTCACCAGTGGTTTAAATTTACTTTGTTATTGTGTCACTCATTACATAGATATAAAGCATATTTGATCATGTTCAATTTGCTCCCATGAACAAGTATAGTTAACCCATACTTTACAAACTTGTATTAACACACGTTTTAAATATGCATTTTAAAAAACCAATATAATATTTATAGGAAATTTTATACTAGTTTTGCTTTTTTTGTAAATTTAGTTTAAATGTCCACTCGTTTTATAAAGTAATAATTTATTTAAATTTTTATTTTGTTTTATAGTATTTAAGTGTTCATTATATCGATTATTGACTGTACATTTGTGTTGGAAAGTTATATAATATTTGTTGTTTAATTATAAACCTAATAATTAGTTTATTGTATCTGATATATCAAACATTATATGTATTTATTTCTATCATGTAATAAATAAGTTGTTATTAATTTCACCACATTGTTTGTTTGGGTTTGTCTAGGTTATTTAGTTATTTATTTATTATAACAATCA